CTGGAGCCCTCCTTCCTGAGCTGAGACAAAAATGTGTGACCTGGAGGCTAAAAAACTGTGAGCTAGCTCACACTAACTCAGCTTAGAGGGAACACTGCCTCCCCCCCCTCCCCCGGTGAATAATTCACCTCTCTGTCTGATTTGTGACCCTTGTTCAACTGGGACGAGTAAGGCTAGCTTCCAAGGGACAGGGTGAGCCAAGTTTTATCGGGAGGGGGATAGTTGGTTTTCCTCCAGTTTGGTGTAGTGGTTAGGAGCACGGGTTTGATTCCCCACTCCTCCACAAGCAGCTGCTGGTGTGACCTTGGGCCAGTCACAAGTTCTCTCAGGAGCAGTCCTCAAGAGAGAGCTCTCTCAGGGCCAACCGCCCCACGGGGTGTCTGTTGTGGGGAGGGGAAGGGAAAGGAGTTTGTGAGCCACCCTGAGACTCCTTTGGGTAGTGAAGGGCGGGGTATAAATCCAATCTCCTCCTCCCCTTCTTCTTCCTAAGCCACCTGTGATGCTGCCAGTGCAACCTAGTGCAGGTCAGGGGGCACCGGTCACTTTTGTACCCTCACTCGGCAAGGTCAGCAGTTAGGTATGGGTGCAGGTCTGATTGTGTGTAGGACAGGGAATTCCCAGCCAATCTAGAAAGGGGCGAACGATTGCAGATGTCGGACGCCAGGGATCCTGCGTTCATTCAGTGCCCAGCTCTGGGAGAGACTCTAAAGGCTCTGGGAGAGACTCTAAAGGCTCTAAAGGCAGCGAGTGACACCGGTAGCAGGAGCAGCAAATTTCCCATCGACTGTCTCTGTCAAGATCCCCGGCTTCTGACGCCTCCTCCCCGCCCCGCCCCCCCTTTTTCTGACCGCTGCCTTCTGCTTCCAGTCCATCGACCTGAAGAAGCCCATCGACAAGCGGATCTACAAGGGGACGCAGCCCACGTGCCACGACTTCAACCAGTTCACCGCCGCCTCCGAAAGCATCTCTCTGCTGGTCGGGTTCTCGGCCGGGCAGGTGCAGTACCTGGACCTCATCAAGAAGGACACCAGCAAGCTCTTCAACGAGGAGGTGAGCGGCCCCCGTCCGGCGGGCTCCGCGGGCTTCAGAGACAGGGCGGCATTCCCAAAGGCGTTTCTCTCCCTTTCTGGGGCCTGCACATTGTACAGAGCTTGCCATGGGGGCCCTGGCTGATCATCTCCCACCTAGAGACCCCCGTCTGTGCTCTGTTCTGCTTTGAGCTCCCTGGAACCTTTTAACAGCCGTGCAGGAGAAACGGGGGACTGAGGGGGGGTGACGTGAGAGAGGTTTACAAAATAATGCGCTGGATAGAGAAGGTGGAGAAAGAAGTCCTTTTCTCCCTTTCTCACAATACATGAATTTGTGGGAGCCTTGAAATGAAGGAGCAGTAGGCTTGGAACAGATAAAAGGAAGTCCTTTTTCACCAAAAGAGTGATTAAAGCATGGGATTCATGGCCACAGGAGGTGGGGGTGGCTACAAGCATAGCTTCCAGAGGGGATTGGATAAACATCTGGAGCAGAGGTCCATCAGTGGCTATTAGCCACAAGGTATGGAGGAAACCCTCTGTCTGGGTCAGTGATGCTCTGTATTCTTAGTGCTTGGGGGGAGGCAACAGTGGGAGGGCTTCTGGAGTTCAGGCCCTGCTGGTGGACCTCCTGATGGCCCCTGGGTTTTGGCCACTGTGTGACACAGAGTGTTGGACTGGAGGGGCCATTGGCCTGATCCAACATGGCTTCCCTTATGTTCTTATGTCTGGGGCAGGGATGCTCTGTCTTCTTGGAGCTTGAGGGGCAACAGTGGGAAGGCTTCTGGAGTTCAGGCCCTGCTGGTGGACCTCCTGATGGCCCCTGGGTTTTGGCCACTGTGTGACACAGAGTGTTGGACTGGAGGGGCCGTTGGCCTGATCCAACATGGCTTCCCTTATGTTCCTATGTCTGGGGCAGTGATCCTCTGTCTTCTTGGTGCTTGGGGGGCAAGAGTGGGAGGGCTTCTGGAGTTCAGGCCCCGCTGGTGGACCTCCTGATGGCCCCTGGGTTTTGGCCACTGTGTGACCCAGAGTGTTGGACTGGATGGGCCACTGGCCTGATCCAACATGGATTCCCTTATGTTCTTAAGTCCCGGGTGTGGCAAATGTTACAGGGCCGCCCACGTTGAGTGGCATCGTTGCTGTCTTTTGCCCGCCCACCCCCTTCTCATGCTGCCTCCCCGCTCCTCTTCTTCCCTAACCCTCACCTCACAGAGGCTGATCGACAAGACCAAGGTGACCTTCGTGAAATGGATCCCGGAGTCGGAGTCTCTCTTCCTGGCCTCCCACGCCAGCGGCCACCTGTACCTGTACAACGTGGAGCACCCCTGTGGCTCGGCCTCGCCCCAGTACGCGCTCCTCAAGCAAGGGGAGGGGTTCACGGTCTACACCTGCAAGGGCAAGAGCCCCCGCAACCCGCTGCTGAAGTGGGCCGTGGGCGAGGGGGCCCTGAACGAGTTTGCCTTCTCCCCCGACGGCCGCTCCCTGGCCTGCGTCAGCCAAGACGGCTGCCTGCGCGTCTTCCACTTCGACTCCATGCTCCTGCAGGGGATGATGAAGAGCTACTTCGGGGGCCTGCTGTGCGTCTGCTGGAGCCCCGACGGGCGCTACATCGTGACGGGGGGCGAGGACGACCTGGTGACCGTCTGGTCGTTCGCCGAGGGCCGGGTCATCGCCCGGGGCCACGGCCACAAGTCCTGGGTCAACGCGGTGGCCTTCGACCCCTTCACCACCAGCACGGAGGAGGACGAGGCCAGCGAGTTCAGCGGGAGCGACGACGACGTCCAGGACTCTCTGAACTTCGGCCGGGTGCGGACGAGCAGCACCCTCTCCCACCTCTCCAAGCACAGCACCAAAAGCACCCCGTCCGTGACCTACCGCTTCGGGTCCGCCGGCCAGGACACGCAGTTCTGCCTCTGGGACCTGACGGAGGACGTCCTCTACCCTCACCACCCGCTCTCCCGGGCCCGAACGCTCACAAACACGTTCAGCGCCGGCATCCCGCCTTCCGGGAGCGGCGGGAGCAACCTGGCCGCCGAGTCGGGGGGAGGCGCCCTGCCCCGCTCCCTCTCCCGCTCCAACAGCCTGCCCCACCCCGCCGTCACCAGCGCCGCCAAGAGCCACGTGGCCGACGGGGCGGTGCCCTTCAGCATCGGCAAGTTCGCCACCCTCACCCTGCAGGAGCGGAAGGACAAGAACGCCGAGCGGGAGCACAAGCGCTACCACAGCCTGGGGAACATCAGCAAGAGCAACGACAAGCTCAACGTGGTGCCCAAGAGCAAGCTGGACACCGCCAAGGTCCTGGGCACCGCCCTGTGCCCTCGGATCAACGAGGTCCCCCTCCTGGAGCCCCTGGTCTGCAAGAAGATCGCCCACGAGCGGCTGACCGTCCTGCTCTTCCTGGAGGACTGTATCATTACTGCCTGCCAGGAGGGGCTCATCTGCACTTGGGCCCGGCCGGGGAAAGCGGTAAGTGTCCACAGCGCCCCCTGCTGGCCGGGAGGGCCGCAGTGTGTCTTTAAGGGCGCGAGACTGACATTCCCACCAGTGTGACTGGGGAGCTCGGCAGGGTTCTCAGTTCATGCTAGATCCCTCTCTGTAGATCTTTTGGGAGCCCGTTTGGTGCAGTGGTTAGGAGCGCGGACTCTAATCTGGAAGAACCGGTTTGCTTCCCCGCTCCTCTACACGCAGCTGCTGGTGTGACCTCGGGTCAGTGACAAGTTCGTTCAGAGCTGTTCTCTCAGGAGCAGTCCTCGAAAGAGCTCTCTCGGCCCCACCCGCCTCGCAGGGTGTCTGTTGTGGGGAGGGGAAGGGAGAGGAGATTGTGAGCCGCTCCGAGACTCCTTCGGGGAGTGAAGGGCGGGGTACAAATCCAGTCTCCTCCTCCTCCTCCTCTTAGAGAACGCTGTCTAAGCTTGAGAGCCAGTTTGGTGTAGTGCTTAGGAGCACGGACGCTAATCTGAGATAACCGGGTCGGATTCCCAACTCCTCCACATGCAGCTGCTGGTGTGACCTTGGGTCAGTCACAAATTCTCTCAGAGCTGTTCTCTCAAGAGGGGTTCACGAGAGAGCTCTCTCAGCCCCACCTGCCTTGCAGGGTGTCTGTTGTGGGGAGGGGAAGGGAGAGGAGTTTGTGAGCCGCTCTTGAGACTCCTTCGGGGAGTGAAGGGCCATGGGGTACAAATCCAGTCGCCTCCTCCTCCTCCTCTTCTTTCCTTTCCGTGCAGCGCTTTCCACATTCTCCTTTGACTCCTCGCCACAGACATTTGGGAAGCTGTATTCGTACACTTAAGACAGGATTGGCGCACTGCAGGCTCACTTCCCTACAGCATGCGGAGGGAGCATGGTGCATGCCTTCTTTTACAATATTTATTCTTCTTATTTATAGGAGGGGTTTAGTGATCGGGGCTGGTGGCAAGTGGGCGTGGACGAAGAGGGAGTGGGCGGACCCGTGAAGACAGGCGTTGCCGCAAGAAGGGCGTTCCCCCCCTCCCTGAAGCCCTCCAGTTGGGTTGGGGTGTCTCTGTAGCTTGGTGGTTGACCAGCTGTCAGCGTGAATTTTCACGGCAGTCCTCGCGCTCCCCTTTTCTCAGCACTTCCATCGCCACGCCGAGGGCAAGGTGGTACAGTCCTGCCATTAGTTCTGGAGCAGCCAGGCAGCCCCACCTTCTTGCTATTTTCTCTTCATCTGGCGAAACAGAAAGCTAGTTGACACAACAAACCAAAGAAACCAAGCGCCAAAATGTTTCCCCGCACTGCGTGACGATGCCTTTTGTGCCCACGTGCGTGTTTTCAAAGCAGCTCCGTGTACACCGAAAAGAGGCAGGCGAGGGGATAAAAGAGAGATTTCCAGTTAGGCGTGCTTAGACTTGTTTTTAGTAAGAGGGGGGGGCCAGGCTTTGCAGACAAGGGGGGGGTTTCGAGCACGCGTTTGAAAGGAGCAGTGCGAGCGTCTCTCGCTTCACCGCCCACATTATCCAGGCTCCCTGGTGCTCTGGCTCATCCGCCCATTTGTCTTTCCAGACCGTGAACTCCCAAAACGGCGGCTCGCCCAGCGGCACGGTGGTATAACCAGGCGTTCCCGCTCAGCCGGCCAGTCTCCCGGGCAAGGCGTCTC